GTCTGCATGCTAGCTTCACGTTTACTAGCTACGCTTGCTTAAAACTAAATCTTACTGAGTTTCTGTTTCTATATCTAAAATCACACTTGTCAAAAAGATTAAGGTGCTATACACCTGGAATACACAAAACACACAAATTGCAGCTTTTATCTTTTTATTAGTGGAGGGCAATAAACAGGTGAAGAATTAAGGAAAAAAGATTTCACAAACTGCTTCCAAAGCCTTTCGTGTGCAGTTAATTTTAATGAAAACAGAGAATGATCTTGCACAAAATAAATACAATTATAACCTGCAAATAAGAGAGACTACAGTGACAGAAAAGCCCAAAAATAGAGAAATAAAGGCTTGGGAAATAGGACTCTGAGGCTGACAGAGTCAAGCGGTCCCTGCAGAATGTAGGTGTGCCTGTATGTTTATGCTGGGGCTGGGAGGTGATTTTTGTTTCAGGTGTCCAGTTATATATTCTTAGTAAGAAAAACCACTGTTGGAATGTCTATTTATTAAGGTAAATTGATTCTTCCCAAAGCCAGTTTTCAGTTTAGAAACAGTATCTATAACATCCACACCCTGGTAAGTTTCCAGAAGAGTCAATGCTTTCATTCTAGTGAAAACTGAGGGTGTGAAACTAGAGGTCAGTATTTATCACTTATATCAACAAATACACACATAAATCAAACACATTTTACTTCAAAATTTTCAAACTACTTCCATGCTCAAATTAAAACAGATATAGAAATATTCATTCTACATCTTTTCAGAGCAATACCAAGTACTGAAACTCGATTCATTCTGTATTAAAGGCAACTGTTCCTAAAATAACACACAATTTATAAAACGCTTCTAAAAATATCAGTAAGAATAGGTTAAAAGTATGACTCTGAGTAAGCTTCCTTTTTATAAAAAAGTTGTTAAACTAATTCATTTAAGCTTTTTTTGTTTTGGTTTTGGTTTACCACTAGGGGTTACAGTATTTGGTTATTCTTCCTTCCAGCATGAGAAAGAAAATCTTAATCTTTTATCTAAGAATATGAGCTATATATCAAACAGTCAAAACAAGGCAGATGCTTTGGAGAGCTAATGTAAGCTTTAGTTCTTAACTCGGAATTCATGTGGAGGAGCCAATAATTACTTGAAAGTTAAAAGGAACAAAGGTAAACACCCACTAATTTCAACTATTAAGCATAAGAATGCTGCTTACACATTCAGAACTGGTCTAAAGCTAAACAGCATGCAACTGAAATAGTCAATACTGTGACAGGCCAAATGAGAACCACACACTTTATGCAGCACTATTTACCTCCAGGACTTTGAAATATTAGTGTCACATATCGTCTGGATTTTAAAAAGAAAAAAGAGATGCTACAGGAAAGGAATCCCATAGCTCAATCCTTTATTAGTGTAGCTTCAAAAACAAAATAAGGCAATACAAGAAAAAACAGACGAAGAAACCTAAAATGTTTTAGGTATCATCACATAGCTATTAATTAAAATTAAAACACTGCAGATACTGTGACATTTAGCAACAGTATATATCAAATCTATTTTTCTTAAAATAAAGCTAGCAGTATTAAACAGAACTATAAAACTGATCTGATAATTTTATATTTGGGAATATGCAAATTAACTCCTGTAAAATACATTCTAATGAAGTTATGAATAGAAACATTAGGACCAATCTAAATGCCCTACAAACATTCAAGCAAATCATAGACAGTACAGTTTTAAGAATGATATACTATATGGTCTATGAAAAGGAAATACTAGTCTATAAAAGCCAAGAACATTCGTTATATTGAACTATATTGACATTAAAATCTATCCACAGGAAATGACAGTAAGTTAAAAAAAAAAAAGCTACAGCTGGCACGGTGACACACACCTGTAATCCCGGCACCTGGGAGGGTGCCGGCCTGAGCTATATAGTGAATCCCTGTCTCAACCCTCTCCCCCTGGAAAAACTACAGAAACTGTTACAGTTATTTAAGAAGGCCAAGATCACAAATCAGAAGTTAGTAATGTAAACCAAGGGAGGTGGTGCACACCTGTAATCCCAGCACTCTGCCAGAGGCAGGAGGATCACAAGTTTGAGCCCACCGTCAGCAACTTAGTGAATTAGCAAGATCCTATCTCAAAATTTAAAAAATATATATATTTAAAGGTCTGGGGATGTATCTCAAAATGAAGGTCCTGGGTTCAATTCCCAGTAGCAGAAAGAAAGAGGGCTGGGGGGGAGGAAGCAAGCAAGCAAGCTAGACAGAATTTTATGTTCCCTGGACTGTTTCTCTGCTAGTAAATTAAACATAAAATAATTTTAAGGTGACAAAATGACCAGTCTTCAGGGTTCTCCTATTTCTGGTTGTGCTGAGTATTGAACTCAGGACCTTCAACATGCTATATGCTCTATCTTTAAGCTACAGCCCCCTTCCCTCGGGTTTCTCTGTTTCTCAAAATACATACTGAACTAAAAACTGCAGGACATAGACTTCACAGCAAATGTAAAGACAATACTGCACTATATAAACTACATTTATGCTGAAATATGCTTCTTTTATCTCTATACTCATTACTATTTTATAACATCACAAGACTGTTCTTTTCCTCTAAGAAATGCAAAATACCTCTCAAAAGTCATATACGAACAAATATAATTATCCCTATTTTATAGCTGAAAACATGGATGGAAATATTATCAATTCACTATCAACACTTTTGGAAATAATTATTCCCATTTCACGACTTCTGCTTCTAAATTTTAAAAGAAGTCTCTTCTGCTTTTCTGAATAATATATAAAGACCATCTTCCTTAAGAAATATGGAATGGATGAGAATAAACTATTGTTACCACTCTGACTAAAGTAATAAAAATTTAAGTTGCTGTTACTACAGCATCTGCATTGAGAGCAAAGGGAAGAAATGTGGAAGTTTAAATTATCTGTGCCAGTTAGTCAAGCTGTAGGGGAAAAGTGCTAAAAGTACCTCCTCCTCATCTGAGAGCTGTTTCCATTGGCCAAGATGTGAAGAGCTAGCTGGCAACAAACACGAAAATTCAAACATTTCAGAAAACGGATCTGCCTTACCTGTTTTATCCCTATACCTCTCAAAATTAAAATTCCAAAAGCATCCTCCCAGGTTAACTAAAAAAATAACTAAAACGTGGCTACCTGAGAAAACAAAAATCATCTACCTGGCAGATAATCTGTAAATTTCACTCATCCGTAGGGCCTGGGATTTATTAGCCGCCACCTGCCTTGCAAGCGCAAGGTCCTGAGTTCCATCCCTCGTAACAAAACAAAACAAAGACAAAAACAAAATAAAAAACATCAACCCACAGGTGTTTCCTCCTTTTTGTTTTAAGAGCACTTTGCACATAAATCTTTTATACTACATCTGCTATCAGTCTGCTCATAAGCTTATGTCTCTTATTTTGAGATTCCTAGAGGGCAGAGAAAGTACTTCTATCTTTGAGAAACTAGGAATACAATTTATGATTGCTGTAAAATTAAAGACCATGCTGGGGCATGGTGGTCCAAGCCTGTAATCCCAACACTTTGGGAAGCTGAGGCAGAAGGATGGAAGTTGGAGTCCAGCCATGGCAATTTAGTAACTTAATGCAGACCCCGTCATAAAATAAAAAAGGTATGGGATGTGTGTAGCTCAGTGCAAAGGCCCTTGGTTGGGGGGTGGCACACTGTTCAGCCAGAAGCCTCAAAAAGAAGTGAGATGCGGGTGTTATGTACATGTACCAACTTCCCACGATGGCTGTAATCATTATGTACTACAAAGACATACTAGTAAAAATATAAGTTAAAAACGGAGAGCTTTTTGTGCTGCAGAGTATGAGTGAAGGACTGAAATGCCCACTACTGACTTGAGAAACCCTCAAGAGACCCTTAGGTATTTTTACAGATATAACATTTCTAACAGATGTATCAACATGTCATTCAGGACAGCTGACAAACTTAAACAGAAATGCAAGATGCAATCAAAAGCTTAATAGCTTCTCTAATGCCTTAAAATAACCACAAAATTCACAGCTACAGTAAAGTTAGCAGTAATAAAATAAACACCAGCTTTAAAAAAATCAAACTTAGTAAAGAAACTTATTTATAGATTGTAAAAGTTGGGTGAACGATTATTTGAAGTGTTAAAATTACTAACGGTTTCGAGGAGATTTTCATTTCCCTCAAGCCGTTTCAACAACTTAACCTAAAATCCGGCTGCTCATGTCTCTTACTAGCAGTTAAACTGACAACCGTTTAAGTGTGAATATCCTAAGAGGTCAACGTTTTCAAGACTTGGCCTAGGAAAAACACCAGTTTCTCCTGTTATAGGCTCCTTGTGTTTAAAGCAAAGCTCTGAGAAATTAAATAACGGGATCGTATATATTTTACATTAAATTTTTAAACATTTACAGGCAGAAACTAAGTGTGTCAATCACTATTACAGCAACTCAATGCAGATTACGCATTTCTGAGTGTTATAATTAACAAATAAGTAATCAACAGCTAATCACGAAACTGGTTATCAAAGTCCTAAAAAAGTGCAAGCTCTCATGACCAACCGGAAGGTCCAAAAAAAAAAAAAAGTAGTACAATGAAACAGGAAGCAATGAAGTTAAAAGTTACTATAAATTGTAACTAAACTTGAAGTTGCCCAGCAAAAGTCACCTAGGCGTGCAAGATCCAACTCCAAACGCGCCCCTTTCTAGGGTCCCTGCTCGGGGAAAGTGAGTACAGCTGTGCCTGCGACCTGCCCGGCCTGGCAGAGGCGAGGTGAGCCTGGGGACCCAGGACCGAGTTTTCCAGATCGATCCCAGTAGGGATCGTTCCTGAGCATCCTATCCTCTACCCGGGCCACGCCAGGCGCTCTGGGAACAGCTCGACCCCACTCACGACTACGTCCCCCTCCCCGCGCTCCCACCTGGGGACCCCAGGGCCCCGGAACCCGGACCTCTTCCCCTTTCCACAGGGCACACCGGAGGCCCGCCGGGCCGCACCCACCTTGCACTCGTGGCTCTTCTTGTCTTCGCAGAAGTTGACCGGCGCCAGGCCCGGAAGGTAGAAGGCGCTACCCCGGCGCGGGCCCGGGACCGCTCCCAGCAGGAGCAGCGACAGCAGTAACAGCCGCGGCGGAGACAACGCGGGCAGCCTGGCGCTCATGACGGCTGCTTCGGGGAAAGGCCAACCGAGCCTGGGGGATGAAGAGGGGAGGAGGGATGGGGAGGCTCGGAGACTTCGACGCAGCCGCTGGAGGCGAGCGAAGCCAGCCCCACGACTGCACAGTTCCGGTAGCGCGGGGAGACACCGCGAGCCTCGTAACAGAAACCGAGCCGAACCTCGACGGGGCATGCGCAACGCCGTCTGCACATGCTCAGTGAGAGCGCCGCAAGCGCAGCCAGGAGTTTCCGGGAGGAGCTTGGAGGAGATCCATTTTCCGGGTTTTCGCCGCGCCCGCGGGAGAATTGTTCCGGGGTTAGAGTTCTAACTGCACGTTCCTATCTAGAGCTCCAATGGGGCGCTCCATATTCGCTGCTGTGTCTCGATAATTTCCCATAAACATCATCGGGTTCCTTAACCACGACAATCCCTAGTACAAAGCAGGTGCTCTTGAAAGTATCTGCTGACAGTGGCAAAGTTAGGGGGACACCTAGTTGGAAGCAGGATAAGGAAACGAATGGGAAGGAGCTGTCCCTCTGCAAATTGACAGCTACTCGGTGGTAGAAGCACGGTTTCCAAGCATCTGCTATGGGGGATGCAGTCCTGTGTGAAACAGAGCTCGCGTGCACAGAACAAACAGACGTCCTTAAGGAAGAGTGGAAATTCAGGTGGAAGAAAAATAGTAGGTGAATAGAAGGAAGTGTTGACATTTCTTTGCAAAGGGAGATAGACACTACCGAGAGTTCATTGAAGGAAGTTATGGCGAAATAGGGTATGATTACCTTTTTCCCATATGGCGTCCCCGCGTGTAAGTTTACAGATGTGCTTGTGTGCACCTGGGTGTTGCGTTTTCTGAGTATTTTTCATGGGAAACTTTACTTTTAGTGACAGAAACAAGCTAATTCAATTGAACTTTAAGAAGTCAATCTAATATTTAGGAAAAGTGTATCAAGAGAAAAAGAATCGGACTCAAGAATGAGCAAGTTCAGAAAACAGGCACGTTTAAAAGTTTGGAGCCCCACAAACTGCTATCTATATTGTCATGTTTCACATTTTCCCCGAGAAAGGTCTCCAACTTTCACCAAATGTTCAAGGGGATCTAACATGCTGCTTAAAAGGCTAAGAGCAAGAACAACAACAAAAAGGTACAATTCTGGCTTGCCAACGCAGTTTGCACTGACTGAGCGCGCCAGTTCAGGACCACCAGTATAGAGTCAGGTGACCTGCACCTAACATTAACAGAGAACAGGGAAACAGAAAACAGGAAAAAAAATGTCCTAGAGTTTCTGTGAAGGTTAAATGAAAAAATGTATGGAACACACTTCTTGCCTCAGAGGGGTGGTAGCCATTTTAAAAACTAAAGCAAATTTAGTGGGGCCCTGAGAAAAAGTGTGTGGATGGCTTCCCCCTCGCACAACCCTCTTCCTAGAAGAAATCAACACAACTCTAGTCTAGAGAAAGAATTGCGATGTCCTGTACTTGGAAATAATGGAGATTTCCAATATAATGAAGAAGCAACTGTCCTCTCCAAAAACAAAAAGTGGGAAGGAAAATTAGTACTTTTGTTTACCTTCTGCTTTTCTACCCACTAACACCTGGCCCTCGTCACTTCGTTGCCTCCTCTCAAACCTTTTCCTTCCCGGCTTCTCCCTGCCTCTACCTGCTGCTCACCTGTTTCTCAAGCCTCAAACCCGGGAGATGTGCTAAAATTTTCATTTCCTCACTCCCCATATTGTCGTTCACCAAGTACTATTCGCTGAGCCAAGTACTATTTCGCTCCAGGCCAGAACCCTGAACTCCTCACTGCATAGCTACAGCTTTTAGACGTCTCTCAATTCCACTCTCCTGCTGAGATCCTGCGCCCCACAGTACTGTATCTACCATTATTTGGAATGATAATGTGCATCCATGGAGCCACATTTGCTCATTTATAAGAAACTGCATTGAGATCTAAGGGCCTGGTCTCTGCATCTTACACTTCTCCATCCCTAGAGTGTGGAGAAACAAGGAGAAAAGAACATTATCGGAGCTCGCCAGACCAGAGATCTGAATTTGGCATCGCAGACTTCCAGTACTGAAATAAACTTGACAGTTTCCAGAGGCGTTTAACTCTCCTGTTTCACAGAGGAAGAAAGGGGAGTGACTTCCCACAGTGACCAGGGACCCCTTAAGGCTAGCTAAATCCGCAGCGATCCGAGGGTGTAGGAGTCCTCATCCTTCTTTCCTTCAGACCCCGCCGCTTCTCAATATTCTAGGTTCAGCATCAGAAAAAACCCGGACAGATGGAATCTAGATAAATGAAAATGACCTCCAGATTCCAGACAGCGGGGCTCGCTGCTTTTGCGGAGAGCCCATGCGCAAAAACGGGCTGCCGCACCTCTCCAACTCCTACGACGACACGTCATCCACTCGGCCGGATTCCGGTGGGCGGGGCCGGGGGCGGGGCTGGGTCCCCGCGAGAGGAGAACTCTTACTTCCGGATCCGGCCTTCACTGGCCGGGGTTCCCTAGGTTACCTGGAGCTAGGGCGTGGCGGCGTGAAGACCAACCAGTCCTCGCAGGCTGAAAACTGGAGTCCCTTTTTTGTGGGCCCTTGAAATGGCAGTATATGCCATTATATAAAGGCATTACAGGCAGAAAAGCATAACCAAGAGTGGAGATTCTAATTCCAAACTAGAAAGAAGGCATTTTCCCTTTGACTGTGATGCTCCTTGAAAGTACTGATCCTACTGGCTGGACTGTAGAAACGAAAGGGATGTGATTTTCTCCTTTCCTTTGCTACTGATTGCATTTGTCAACTCAGATTTAAAACTAATAATATGGCGTCATCACATCGAGAGGCAGAATGTAGAACAGTGATTACAGAGGGGCAGCGGTGTTATTGTTTAACGGGTTTAAGAGTCAGTCTGGAATGGTTAAACTATTTACAGATGGATACTGGTGATGATTACACAGCAATGTGAATATACTATCACTGAATTTAAAAGTGATTAAAATGGCAAATTCTATATTATACATATTGTACAGCAATACTTCTTCCACTTTTCTCTGCCAACATGATTTGGACATCCTGTTTTCCTGAGTTTCCCACAACTGCCATATAGGATGTCATAGTGAGTAAATGAAAAACAAAGGATTCCCAATTAAACTCTAAATTCAGATGTTAAGTAGATAATTTGTAGTGTAACTACGTCCCCAGTAGTTCATGAGGTGTACATTTATATTATCTGGCCACTATACATTTTGTCAAGTTGAAATTATTAGAGAAGCTGCTTCCATTTACGGGAGGTCTGCTCTGCTAGCAGAATGTCTAAATGGGCCATCAAGATTTTGTAGAAGGAAAAAAATAAACTCACTTCATTTTCTGTAAATATGATTCTAAACACCAAAAAGCCATAAACAGTCACTGAAGGGGATCAGAATATGACACCTAAAAATAGGACATGTTGGCATAAGGGTTATTTGGAGTTGAAGGCAACTGAGAAATAGCAAACACAGGAAGAGATCTCTGCATTCCTCCTTTCTGCCTAAAACAGAGAATAAGTTTGTGTTTTTAAAAGCAGAAGTAAACTGGGTATGGCGGTGCATGCCCGTAATCCCAGCACTTGGGGGGCCGAGGCAGGAGGACGAGTGCCATGAGCTCAAAGACAGCCTGGGTTACAGAACAAGGCCTTGTCTCTAATAATAATAATAATAATAATAATAATAATAATAATAATAGAACAACAACAGCAACAATAAAAAAGTAAAATAAAAGCAGGAGTAGCAACCAGAACAGGGATTATTTGGCCAAGAGGATCAGAACTTTTTCTATTGCAGAAAGTCCTGAGACAGCACCAAGATGAATCTGAATAACAAATCTTACTAAATAACTTTTGTCTACCACACCTTTCACAGTTTACTGCCCCTGGAGTTTAAACCCCTTTGCCTGGTCTAATCACTACTCCACATTGTATTGTCTTTATTAAAATGGTATATAACAGTGGTGGTGAACCTATGTCACACATGCCTCAGTTGGCTATTTGTATCATTGAAAGCTCTGTTGTTATAATTTTTTTCTCTTAAGACAAAGGATGTTAATGTATGAAATGCTTTTTATAAACTAAAACTTCAGTATTCAGATTTAATCGCAACACATAAGTGGGTTTTGGGTTGCAGCTGGACACTCAGTCTCTAAAAGATTCACCACCACTGGTATATAAGCTCCCAAATACAACTTCTCTTTGGGGTTTTCATTTCATTTCCCCTACACATAAAAATTTGAGTATAATTCATGTCTTTGTTTCCTGTTGACTTTCTTCAGTTTAATTCAGAGGTCTCAGGTATAGAACATAAGACGGTAAAGAAAAATATCCCTCCCCTGCACTACAACTTGGAAATAAAGCTTGCTAGAAATGCAGTTCATAGAGATCAGAGCCAATCTATGAGAGCTTTCAATTTTAAGATAGTGAAAGATTCCCAAACAGGAACTGCTTTAATAAGCCCCAGAGGAGGAATTATTTGACCAGCAGAACCTGGAAAAATGAAAGCCACAGCAATAAAACAAAGTATCACTCCAGGAAGACTGTGGTGGAGGTCTACATGGTAGATCTGCATAAATCCTAAATTTCTTTTGGTGCTGGGGATCAAAATATAAACCTTAATTTTATTTGCTCTGAATTTATGCTTCTGACCAACTGTCTCTTTTAAATTTAGCTTGCCTGGAGTTTGCTTATTGAGGGAAAACTTTTGCTTGCTGGATTCAAGTAGGTCTCCTCTGGGATTATTGTTGTTTTAACTTTACTGAAGTATAATTTACATATCATGCAACTCATTCATTATTCAGCTCAATGGTTTTTGGTAAATTTACACAGGTGTGCAGCAAGCAGCCTAATCAGTTTTAAAATATATCCATCGGGGCCAGGGATTTAGCTCAGTGGCACCACACCTGCTTTCTAAGCGTAAGGTCCTGAGTTCAATCCCAGGTACTGAAAAAAAAAAAAGCCTGTGACTAGAATATTTCCATCTCCCCAGTAAGATCCCTCGTACTCTTGGATATCTAGTTCCCCTTCTATGTTCACTTCCAGGAAATCTCTAATATATTTTCTGTCTCTCCTGGAGTTATATAGTACTTCTTTTTCTTTTTTTAAATGGGGGATCGAACTCAGTACCTTGCGCTTGCAAGGCAGGAGGCAGAACCCCTGAGCTAAATCCTGGCCCCAGTACTTCTTATTTTATACATTAATAAGAAATTTGATGTGCTCTCCAATTCC